AGGAGGAGGAGGAGGAGGAGGAGGAGGAGGGAGGAGGACTTTTTCTTCCGTTCGAGCTGCGCCCAGCCGTACCTTTGCCCCCCAGGAGGCTCCAAGCAGCAGGGTGGCAGCAGGGTCGCATGTGAGGTCTGGCAGCTACGCTCGGCCTCTTGAACATGTACATCTCCAGACCTGCGAATCGCGGCCCTTGACCCAGGCCGGAGTAAAGGTGACTCGTGGCCGCTTTGGCGCAGCTATGGGCGGCGGAAACACGACAGACCAGGACGCTCTGCTACGAGGGGGAGAGGATGAGGAAGGACGAGGAGGAGAAGGATGAGGACAATTGGCATGAAGAGGACTTGGAGACTTCGGGGAATCATTTCAAGATTCACGGGCATGGAAGTGTTCAGCTCCTTCTGCGAGCTTCAGAGCGCCAACGGAGTTCTGGTGTTCGTGTAGCGTTCCCTCCTCTCTCAATTCCATTCGCAACGCGTCGATGTGATCCACGAAGGCAGAGCCGTGCTCCCCTCTCTGTTCAATGACGCTGGCAATTTGCAAATCGTCAATCTCTAGCTTGACCCCGAATGGACGGAAACGTTTCCCCGTCAAATGATGTTCGCCATTGCGTCCCATCTTACCCCAGCCAATTCGTGTTTCATATTGGGGGACTCCACTGTCCTGGTACATGGTGAAGGTCGTTTTTGAGTTTCTCACAGATCTGATCGGGTAGGCCAAGATCGGCCCTCGGATTTTTTCGACAGCGTTTTATCCGTCGTTGCGAAATTGATCAGCAACTGGACACTCATCTTCGCATAATTTCCCAGGACGCCACTTATGTGCGATTTGACAGAAACTACTCCAACATATCCACAACTGTAGATATTGACTTTGGAGCCTCTTCGGGTACCTCCTGGGCCATCACTGACTCTGAGAACCCACCTGACCATGCGCCTGTCTTCTTGACTTTGATGCATTTCGCTCCGTCAGGGAAGCCGCCCGCCTTCAGTACCTATCCGGATCGCCAAACACCCCAACTATCCCGCACGCCAGACGACCTGAACGATGACAGTGAAATGGACCCCTCACCTTCTGGACGTGTTCGGGAAATCGAAGGTTCTTACGAGGTATGCTGCTCACCAGGTGCACAAACACATCGAAGCAAAAGGTGCTGAGCGTCTAGCTGTTTAATGCGCACTCTTCTATTGCTTTCTGATGTGGACGCCGTCGGCGTGATGCATCTCGTGCCCGTCGCGTTTGCAGGTGCTGCCTTACAGTCAGACAATTAATTATTCGATTGCCATATGGAGTGGTGCTCCTTTCGCGACCACCTTTCCCAACGGCATCGTGATATGCTCGGTCAGGTGGGCGCCTGGTGGCGACAAACAAGCTGCTGCCCTCGCTCATACCTGGCGACTTGCTTCTGACGGCACTTCCAGTATGCCTACTCTCCGCACTCCCGGTGTCAAGGGCCCTCAAACGCCTGGCGAGGACGGGCAGGGATTAAAGGAGGAGGGTGAGCAGAAGGAGGGGGGATGGACGCGGGATGGATGGGGGAACAGCAGGAGAACGGGGAGGAGGAGGAGGGATACTGGGGAATGTGGAAGAGAGAAAGGAGGAGGGAGGAGGGACGAAATGGCGGAAGGCACGCCGATGTGAAGAGGATGGCATGGTGGAGGGGGGGGAGGGGAGAGGATTGCGAGGCAGACGAGGAGGAGGAGGAGGATGAGGAGGAGGAGGATGAGGAGGAGGACGAGGAGGAGGAGGAGGACGAGGAGGAGGAGGAGGAGGAGGGGGGGGGATGAGGAGGAGGAGGAGGAGAGAGGGGAGGGAGGGAGAAGGAGGAGAGGGGAGGGAGGCGGAGGGAGGGGAGGGGAGGAGGAGGAGGAGGAGGAGGAGGAGGAGGAGGAGGAGGAGGAGGAGGAGGAGGAGGAGGAGGAGGGAGGAGGAGGAGGAGGAGGAGGAGGAGGAGGAGGAGGAGGATGTGGATGGCGTTCCCCCCCTCTGCCGCCGCCGCTGCCCCTGCCCCCCTCCGGCGCTCCCTGGGGCGGGGGGCGCCCCGCCTCGGCGGCGGGGCACGGCGCGGCGAGCGGCGCGGCCTCCGCTCGCGCGGGGCAGCGGGGAGGGCAGGCTGCGGAGGCAGAGAGAGCGGACGCGCGAAACTGAAGGAGCCCTGGGACACACAAATAGACGCATACAAATAGAAGGATTTCCCATATTTTCCTATATCTTCTAGATTTTTGTCTTCCCCCCCACTTCCCATATTTTCCCATATTTTCTGGGGAATCGACGATTCATTGTGTCTGTGTGTTTTTTCCCCTCCTGAGAAACGGGTCGAGCGAAAACGGCGCAGCGCCCTGCAAACACCACCAGCGCGACAGGTGGTCTGAGGAGGGTCTCGCTCCTTTTCCACAGCCCCTCCTCCACTCGGGGAGGGAAAAACCCTCCCCCTCCCCTCCTCGAGGTTTCTGTTGGAGGGATCGGGAGGTGTCGGAGACTCCCTTTTCGCCCATTGGGAGGGCCATTCTTTGCCACTCCTCACTAAGATCGTGGCTCCCTCTCACGAGGAACGGGCCGGGTGAAAACGGCGCAACGCCCCACAAAGTGCGGATGCGAGCGAGGGGCCGGCGGGGGGGTCGCGGGGTGGGTCGCCGAGTGGGTCGCTGGGTAGGTCGTGGGCTGGGTCGCGGGGTGGGTCGCGGGCTGGGTCGCGGGGTGGGTCGCGGGTCGGGTCGCGGGGTGAGTCGCGGGGTGGGTCGCGGGGTCGGTCGCGGGTGGGTCGCGGGTGGGGACGACGACGACGACGTCGACGACGACGACGACGTCGACGACGACGACGACGTCGACGACGACGACGACGTCGACGACGATGCCGACGACGACGACAAGAATTTTCACATTGCTCGCGTGCCATTCAACATGCGGAATTACCTCTACCACACTCTTGATGCCCGCCCTCTTCGACTTCGATCGTACCCTCGTTGGGGGTACATTATTCTCACCTGCCGCGCGTAGTCGGCGCCGCCCCTGGAACAGAGAAGGGAGGGAGGAGGGAAGGGACAGGGGGGGAGAAGGATGGAGGACGAAAGAGACCAGTAAAAGGGGGGTCTAGGAACACTAATGCACGTGGCAGGGCCAAACGGGCGGGCTGGGCGGGCGGACCGTAACCGGCAGGTCGGGCGGGCTGGCCCCAGACAACCGGGTCGAGCAGGCGGGTCGCTGAAGCGTCACTCCAACATGAATCGCAAGGAACTCTCGAACGATAGTGCGATTCCCAAGTAAATCGTGAGGAAGTCTGGAGCGAGAGCGTGATTCCTGAGTCCCGAATGTCGAGGGCGCGGCGTCTCAATAAATTGCAACGGCATCCTACGCGAGAGCTCGATCCCTTGAGAAAGTGAAAGGAAGTCCCGTGCGAGGGCGCGATTCCTGGGTAAGGTGTGAGGACATCTCAGGCGGGAGCCGTTGTTGTGGTAGTTCGGGGGCCGACAGCGTAATCAGATGCCCAAGATTTTCCCACCAGAAAGAACGGTGCGAGCCAGGGGAGTGGCACTACAATGGGGAAACACAACGTGCACCAGAAGGTAAGATTAATCATACTTGTTCTTGGGCAGTGCTAGACCAACAACAACGTTAACCATTTTAAGACTCTTCGCTCTTGTCTGCTCGCGTGCCACTCAACATGCGGACCCCGCGCCCTCGATACCCGCCCTCTTCGTCTTCAATCGTGCCCCCCTTGGAAGGATGGATGTATTACCTGCCGCGTGTCGTTGATGTAAAACAGGGGAAGCGAGGGATGACGGAAGGGAGAAGGGGGATAAATAATGGAGGACGGGAGAGATGAGCAATTGGGGGGTTAGGAGCAGGAGCTCCAGAGGCAGGACCAAAAGGGCGGGTCGGGCGGGCGGGCCCAGACGGCCAATGCGAGCGAGCGGGCGAATCCAAAATGAATTGCGAGGAACTCTCGAGCGACAGTGCGATTCCCACGCAAATGAAGTCGAGGGCGCGGCGCTTCAATAAATCGGAAGACGGCCCACGCGAGACCGCGGTTCCTGGATAGTGGAAAGACGTCCGTCGTGAGAGCGCGACCCTTGGGTAAATTGTAACGAAGCCTCAGGCGGGGGCTGTTCCTCTGGCAGCTCGGGGGCCGACAACGCAAGTTCGAGACCGGAAGCGGCGCTTCAATGGGAATACATGGGAACGGGAAGAGGCGATTAACAACACACGTTCCGTAGAGTTCAGAAATCAGAATCATCAACATTCTTTGTTTGAAGATTGCTCGCGGTCGTATGCTCGCGTGCACTCAACATGTACGCCCCTCACCTTCGATACCCGCGCCCTTCGTTTTCGAGCTCTCCCCCTTAGGGGTATGTCGTTTTTACCTGCCACGTGTAGTTGCCACAGCCCCTAAGACATGCGAAGGGAGGGAGGAAGGAAGGGACAAGGGGGAAGAGGGGGAGGAGGGGGAGGAGGGGGAGGGGGAGGAGGAGGAGGGGGCGGGGGTGGGGGAGGAGGGGGAGGAGGAGGAAGAGCAGGAGGAGGGGGAGGGAGGGGAGGAGGGGGAGGAGAAGGAGGAAGAGGAGGAGGAGGAGGAGGAGGGGGAGGAGGGCGAGAAGAAACATTGAAGGCAAGAGTCAACAGAACTGAAAATAACTGTCAGCAGAGGACGCGCATGTGTAGGGCGGGGAGGGGGTCGTTTGGTGATCGAGGGAGTGACGCTGCTGCCACTGGTCACATATGCCAACACGAAGCCGAAACCACGTAGGGAGAATACAAAACGGGGAAGAAGCAAACAAGACGGGGAGGAGGAGGGGCGGGTGAAGGGGGAGGATGGCAAGGACGGGGATGAGGATGAGCAAAGTGAGGACGAACGGAATCAGGACGATGAACAGGCTCGGGAACGTTGCATGAACCGAGTGGGAACGGCCCTGATCGGCGGCGACGCCGCGAAAACTGTACAGAATGGGCCTCGGGCCAAGTTCACCCATCGGCCGAACTGGCTGCCTGATCGGCGCAGGACCTCGCGGCATTCGATGCGACAGAATCGAGCGAGTGGATCGCCGTACTGCAGGCCGGAGTGACGAGGCCCGCGCAGGTGGGGCCGCAGGAAGATGTGCAATGTCGCCTGCCCAAATATCGGGCCTGGATGCAGTGATATGCGGGTTGGATGCAGTGGTTGCGAGTGTAGGCGATTTTTGTGTAGCGCTCCAAATTCATCAACTGCGGACCGTGCAGCGGTTCATGATTTTGAAATGGTTGCGTACAACTGCGCGCACTATATTTGCATACATATATATGAATATATATATATATATATATATATATATTATATATATATATATATATGTATGTATGTATGTATGTATGTATGTATATATATATATATATATATATATACGGACCACTCCGGATTACATCTATCGGTCAACCAGATCGATCGCGTGGTTCACATATCCGCCACCGTGCGCTTCAGGCGCGAGATGGAGTGTTTCCCGGTCCCCTGCTGGATGCCCTGGGGCCTCAATACGCAAACATGAACCAAACTAGGGGGCGAAACGGTCATTCACTGTCCCTGGGTGCGTGGTTGAAGTGGGATTCCGCGATGCGAGATATTGTTGTTGTTGCTGTTGCTGCTGCTGATGTTGTTGTTGGTGTTGTCGTTGTCGTTGCTATCGGTGTCGTCGTCGTTGTCGTCGTTGTCGTTATGTACTAGTTGTAGTAGCATGTTGTTGTGGTTGTGGTTGAAGTTGTGGTTGTGGTTGTGGTTGTGGTTGTGTTGTTGTTGTTGTTGTAATTGTTGTTGCTGTTGCTGCTGTTGCTGCTGTTGTTATTGCTGCTGTTGTTGTTGTTGTTATTGTTGTTGTTGTTGTTGTTGTTGTTGTTGTTTGTTGTTTGGCGTCGTCGCCCATTGGGCTCGGCCCGCGAACCACCCGCGACCCAACCCGCGACCCGCCCGCGACCCACCCGCGACCCACCCGCGACCCACCCCGCGACCCACCCGCGACCCACCCAACGACCCGCCCGCAGCCCACCACGCGACCCACCGCGCGACCCGCCCGCGACCCACCGCGCGACCGGGTCCGCGACCCAGCCCGCGACCTACCCGCAGCCTACCGCGCGACCCCTCCGCGACCCGCCCCGCGACCCACTCACGTTGCTTGAACGATAAATATGCGCACGCGGCGGGCTCGTTGTATACTTTGTAAGAAGACGGCGCCTGCGGCGGGCTTCGTCGAAGCCTCGCAGGCTGCAGACAAGAGCAAGAGAGAGAGAGAGAAACACACACTCACACGCACACACACACACACACGCACACACACACACATATATGTGTATATAGAGAGAGAGAGAGAGAGAGAGAGAGAGAGATATAGACACATGTATATACACTAGAACCATCGCGCGCGCTTCGCGCGCGCTCAGGTTCTAGCAGGCCCCAGGCCTTGACGAATTCACTGCTCCACTGAAGTAGTGGATCACAGTCCACGCATGCCAATCTGCATTCCGAAAGGCCTTCGAGGAAAATGGTTGTGTTGTCTGTGGAGCATCCTGGGCCGTCTTGGGGCCCTCGTCGGGGCCTCGTGGCCCGTCTTGGAGCGATCTGAAGGGCCTCCGAGGCCGTGAGGGAGCGCTGGAAAGCGGGAAAAGCGAGAACGCCCAAATCCAAAACACTCGGAAAACGAGTGAATCTTGTCTTCCAGGGCCCTCTTGGGGAGCCTCTTGAGTCCGTCCTGGAGCGTGTTGGAGTCCTCGTCGGCTGTCTTGAAGGCATCTTGGGCGTCGTCGGGGCCTCGTGGGACCGTCTTGGGCCCTCTCGGGACCCCCTTAGCCTGTCGTGGCCTGCTTCGGGGCGGGCTCGGGCCGCCTCGGGAGCTCTGGACCCCCCCCCGCAACCCCTGGTGGGCACCGATGGGGGGAACAGGCAGCGGCCCCCCCACCTCCCTCCCGGGCCTACTCCGAGATAGACAATCATGTTCCCGGGAAGCTTTCCGGGAGCATGATTTGTTCGGCTCTGGGGCTTTGGGGGCTTACCGAGGGGCGCCTGTTGCCCTTGTCGGCAAGCCTGTTGGAAACATAGTCGGGGCGGTGGGCGGAAGCCCAA